TTGCCTGGAATAAAACGTCTTGCCTAGTCTCTTTAGATGACTAATACCTCCTCATCCTTTAAGTCTCAGCTCAAATGTCATCTCCACGGTGAGCCTTCCCTCGCCACTCTCTCTAAAATAGGACAGTCACTCCCATCATTCTCCCTCAGAGGCATCTCGTGTGCTTTCTTTATAGAACATCCACATAGCTTTATGTGAATTTACCTGGCTTTTGAATGTCAGGTCCACAAGACTGTATGCACCATTAGGAGTGAATCTATTATTCACCATCATAATTCCCAATGTCTAACACAATTCCTGGCATTCAAGTGTCTAATAAATGGTAATATTTTTATTTCCCTAATATGCCATGTCCTCATACGTACTGCTCCCTCTGCTGATACCCCCACCATCCCTACTGCCTCTACTCCCTCTGCTAACCACCCCTACCCATCTCTCAGCTGAAACATGATCTCCTTGGTGAAGCCTTCCTTTCCTGACCCTCCCTCCTCTCCAGAAGACAGTCTCTCCTTCACTTACTCACCTATTCATCACCAGTCGCATCTCCACCATTGCAATTAACTACACTGTATTATACTTGGGTTGTTTTTGTTTTGTTTTGTATTGGTGGGGAGGGAGTCTGGAAGGGATTGTTTTTGTTTTACATTTGTGTCCACTACTTTAGAAAGCCTTAAAGAAAAATATTTGTTCATCTTTGTGTCCCTAGTACTTAGCACACTGCCAGGCACAGTATTGCCACTAATTATTATAATAATGGCTAATATTTATTGTTTAATACGTGCTTAATAGTCTTAGTTCTATAGTAGGTAAGTAGATGAATAAATGGATAAATGTCTTGGTCACTAATCTCACAGAGGTCACAGTTTGACAGGGACAGAAGACAGGTATACAGGCTAATATAGAATAATCACCACCACAAGGCCAAATTAGTTGCCCTGCCCTGTTCCCATGCCTTCAAGTCTTAGAGTATGCTTTTCTCTGAGTCCATAAATGTCAGGTTTCTTCAAACTCACTTAGAAAACTTCCTTCGATTACTTACAGCCCACTTCCTGCACTTGGTGCCTGGAAGCAATTTCTAGGATGTCACCACAAGTAATATTAAACTGCCGCATAGTTTCCTGCTGTGTGTCTGCATTATCAGTTAAATTGCTTCATATTAACCACATTCCAGTCCACTGGGATCATTCAAACACTAAATAAGATTTAAACATACCTGTCAAAAATTGCCAGTTACCACTGCTCCTTTTATTCTTCTAGATAAATGTCTACACAGGTTTAAGATTTAGGTTTCCAGGGTGCTACCTGCATACTGATGACCTCTTTTTTTGTCCATTAGATGTTGATTTGAGGCAAGACAATGTTCCTTTATTAAAATAAACATGAGGCTGGGCGTGGTGGCTCACACTTGTAATCCCAGGACTTTGGGACACCAAGACGGGCAGATCACCTGAGGCTGGGAGTTGGAGACCAGCCTGACCAACATGGGAGAAACCCCGTCTCTACTAAAAATAGAAAATTAGCTAGGCATGATGTCTCATGCCTGTAATCCCAACTACTAGGGAAGCTGAGGCAGGAGAATGGCTTGAACCGGGGAGTGGAGGTTGCAGTGAGCTGAGATCGTGCCACTGCACTCCATCCAGTCTGGGCAACAAAAGTGAAACTCCGTCTCAAAAAAAAAAAAAAAAAAAAAACTAAATACTCTAGTAAAAGGAAATGCCTGCCTAAACCAGTATAATTGGCCTTAAAAATTTATAAAATATAAAACTTTTCTTCCTCAAGGGTTTAAATTTTTTTTAACTCGATGTACACTCAACTCAGAGAACTCAGAGTCTTAATTAGAATCTTAATGTAGATCCTAAAGCATTTCTTAAATGCATTCCATGAACTCTTCTCAAACAACCACGTGCCAGGCATTGAGTTTGACACAGGGAACTCAAAGATAAATAAGACAGTCCTTGCTCTCAAGAAGTTTATGTCCAGCATGGTACAGGAGACAGACAAGAAACAAGATTCAGTACCGCGTCTGCGATAAACACAAGGGGCCATAGAAACACGGATGAAGGGCACCTGGCCTAGACTGGAACAGGAGTGGGTGGGGGTGGCAACAGGAAACTGGCATCAAGGCAGGCTTCCAGGGGATGGCATCTGATCTTAGGCCTATAAACGCTCATTCTCTCATTTGAAAAATGTGGTTAATAAACAGCATCGCCACCACTGGACAGTAGTGAGGGTTTCATGAAATGGTTCACATTAAGGATTTCCATGGTACCTGACAGAGATTGTGTTCAACCAGGCTTAAACTCTAAAGAGAAGTCTGATCAAACACTAAATTTTAACACCTGTGCCTAGCAACTCACGTGCTTTACCACTGATCACACAACAGACACCAGCTTCACAATTACACACAATATTGTTTTTAATAGACTTTTATTTTTTAATAATGAGACAATGTTAAGCCCTACTCTGCATGTTAACAGCCTAATTCCTTGGTCATTAAAATTTTCTTCTCCATTACCTTAAACATACCTTTCTCTGACATTTCTAATATACAGTAATGTTCTTAGTCTTTTGATACAGAAGGTGGAAAAAAAGGAAAAAAAAACAATTACTGAGTTTTTAACACGGACCTAGCATTTATATTGATACTGTGTTCATTGCTCATAATAACCCTACAACCTGGACACATTCCTCCCCATTTTACCTCAGGGAAACTGAGGTTGAAAAGGCAGTCTGTGTGAAGTTTCATAATTAGCATTAAAAAGAGCTGGAATTTGAACCTAGATCTGATTCCACCTAGTCAACTGACTTGTTGCATCAGAGATAAGCAAGAGAAAACAAAGGGAACCCCTCCCCCTTGCCCCTACCTCCAAGACTGTCCAATTCAATGGAACCTGCACACTTAGATTTCACCACAGCCAGGAGAACACCTTGAATGCCCTGCCAGGAGGGAATAGCCAGCCAGTAGTAACCAAAGCTCCGTCTTCTGCAACAACTAGAGAAGCACTTAAGTGGGTAATTTCCTGTCCATCCCCATTCTGAGCCACAGGCAGAAGTTGCATAATCAACAGTCACTATAAATCACAACTACTTTTCATAACTTCTCTCTTCATATTCTGTTTCAGTTTCACCACAAACTAACATATTTCCCAAGCCTAAGTTTTTATCACAGAGTAGTCTAGTTCCAAGATCAATAAGGCTATTCTTCATACTTAATACAAGTCCATGCCTTAGTAAATTCCCTTGTCCAAGTGCTCAGAATTAGCGATGGGTTCCACAAGACACATTTGAGAAATGTTATTTGTCCAACCTGCTACCTTGGAGAGCAACAGACATTTGACGGCTAGCCATCCGAACTTCTACTTGCTGGATTTTAATACTGGTTCTGACACTCACCGCCTCATGTCAGGCAAGTTTCTGAACTTTTCTGTAACAAGAAGGGTAAGTGTCCTCACGCATACTCTGCAACTCTAACATGGCTTCTGGAAAGTGTTTCTAAGTGCTATTGAAATCCAAGTTTACAACTCTTACTTGGAAGTAGGAGCTAAACTTGAGTGCCTCTTTAATCCCAATGGTTCACAAACGACATCTTTTTACCTCCCAAGCCTCTCAAGCTCTTGTTTGGAGCATGCTTCTAACTTTTTTCTCATTTCCACAAAAATAAAGATTTAACAGAGTGTTCATGCGACTCTTCCACTTTCACTGCCATAAGCAAACTTTTCTAGTTTCATTCAGCAGATGTCTCAAGGCTGCTGCAGCGCATCCCATACATATTTTGCAAATGGGAAGCCTAACCACACGGGGACTGCAAGGCTGGGCAAGGGTCACACTGCACGGGCATCACCTGGACATGAGATGCAATGTTTGAATAATTATTAGATTTCGCCCTTAAGGCCCTTCTCCTTTCCAACTTCCCTAGTACAATTCTCAAAATGCTGAAATAAACACATTCCACAGACTTTCCCGTAAGAGGGTTTAAAGTGTTCTAGGAAAGTTGTTTTACAGAAAAGCCTATGCTGTCAACTTTGCTTTTTAATGCCCTTAAACAATTCTATTAGTCACAGAGGAAAAAGCGAACATTTGTTAGTAATTAGAGATAAAACATCTCCAGTTCTGGGGCAAAGGAAGGGAGAGGCCACAAGAGGACCTGCCTGGGAGGGGAGATAGAGTCCAAAGCCACACACCCAAATTGGACCGCTTAAGAGTTGCACTTTCCAAAGTCAACTTCTAAGTCTACGAAGAGGGCAACAATGTTTCAGTGGATTCTGAAGTTACATGTATCAACAATTTCCCCGGAAAGCTAATCCTCCACCGGAAAGCCAAACCTCCAGGTGAATGAATGAGTGGGGGAATTCGCCAGATTGAGTTACAAAGCCTTTCCAACGATTATCAAGAGCAGGTGTTTGGTTACAACACAGAGGTATCCTCCTTCACACCCTTTGGCCCTTGCCGTGTGGAGATTTTCACAGATAAGAGGGGGGAAATAGGAGAGAGACGGGCCTTCCTCCCCGGCCATCCACACCTTAGGTCCATGAGTGTGACCCCTCCCTCTAAGAACCTCACGCGACTACTGCGGGGGCCGCAGGCCTCAAGCGGCCAGGCTGCAACCTCTCCGGACCTGCCAACTCTCAGGGGCGCCCCAAACATGCCCGTTTGGGGAGGTGCTTCCGGGGCTTTCCCACTCCCCATCCCCACAGTTGAAGGGCCATTTTCAGGGGCTCTCCGTAAACCCGGGGAGGGGGCCGCCCAGTAATCTCAGCTGTTCCGGCCCCTAGGTAAGGAGGGGACACCTGGCCCCCGGCGCCCTGCCACCCCGCGCGCACCCCGCCCCCGCGCCTCCCTGGATCGCCATGGCAACCGTCCCCCTCCCCGCGTGACGCCTGCACGCGGGGCGCCCCTCCGGTCCCGGCAACAAGTCCCCCGCGCGACCCGCGGCCTGCAGCCCTGGCCCGGCCTCGCCGCCCCGCGCCCGGCCCGGCTCCGCCCGGCCCGGCCGCACTCACTTGATCCTGGAGCCCATGGTCCCCGGGCCTCCTCATGGGCCCGCGGGCCCCGCTCGGCGCTGCGCTGCCCGCCCGCCCGCGGCCGACCGGCCTCCCTCTGGCGCTCTCCCCGCCCCTTCCTCCCTTCCCTCAGGCTGGGGCCCGCCCGCTCGAGGCTCGCTCCCTCGCAGCCGCCGCCGCCTCCAGGGGTTAATGTACTCGCTCCAGCCCGGCGAACGCCATGGTCGCCGGCGCGCGTGCCCGGCGCGCGCCGCCCCCACCGCCTCTCACCGCCGCCCCTCCCGCCCGCGCTGCCGCCGCCGCTGCCCGCGGGGGCTGCTGGGAAGTGTAGTCCGCACGCGGGGGCGGGGCCGTGGCCGGCGGGGGCGGGGCAGGAGCGCGGTCACCCGCACGTCTCCCCGGGCGCGGGCCCCGGAGGACTGTGGCGTTCCTGCGCAGGCCCTTACACGTCTCCACCCCACTGCGTCCCGCTGGAAACCTCCACTCACAGCCGCCCTGAAGAGACCCTAATCCTCTCATGGAGACCCCTAGCCCTCCCGATGAAACCGCCACCCATCCTCCCCTTGGAGGCCTCCCACCCAACCCTTCTAACGGACAGCTAATGTCTCCCGCCTAGGCCTCCATGAAAACACGTTTTCCCTTTAACATCCCGCACTTTCCAGTAAGTTCCGTGCAGAACCTCTTCTGCATCACACCGTCCACTTCCCCATCTGAAGGCCTTTCCTCTTCCTTTCCCCTTAGAGCTTGAAGGAGACCCCACATACCTACAGGAAAGCCACTTGGGGGCTGCGTGGACCCATGTGGTGACTCAGCTCTGCCCTCCCCTTGAGGACCTCTGTCTCCCTTTATCAGCCGTTTTGGGGACTCCAACATCGAAGCCTCCTTTTACCACAAAAGTCCCTGATAGAGATTAACTCAGTGCAGATGAAAGGATTTGAGAGCCGAGATCACCAACCTGCTACCTGCCCCTGCTCCCTGCCTTGGGATTCACTTCCATGAACACCTCAATTTCATCCCCTCTAGGCCCAGAGGGATCATAAAGGAAGCAATAATGAAAGCTACCATTAGCCACCCCTTAATGAGCGGGTGAGTGCCCTTCCTGAATCAGACACAGTATTTCCGTACATCATTAGTGCCAATCCTCACAATAATCCTGTGTTCATCTCCCTAATTTACAAAGAGGAAACTGAGCCACATTCCCAAGATCACATAACTAGTAGCGAGTGAAGCCAAGATTAGTGTCCAGACTGAATAATTCCAGACATGTGACACAGTCATGCTTTAAAGTGGCACCTTCCACAAGTCCAAAGACACTTTTAATATTAGGCATTTTTTTTTCCTTTTTTCAATTTTCTGTCCTGAAGCCATTAATCGCTTCTGCCATTTCAGTTCTTATAAATGCATGGAGTGCCTCTTCACCCTACCCCCACCCCATAGCCACTGTGTAACTAGTCCTGCGTCCTAGCTCCTGGCCAGGCTAGGAGCAAAGAAAGCAGTAAGATAAGTCATAGAAGACTTCTTCTGTTTGAGTCACCTTCTGAATAAAGGTAGTTTCTCCCTTTTCCCTTTTGCCTGTACCTTGAGGTTGTTGAAGTCAAAGGGTAAACTTTTTAAAATTAAAACCAAAAAAAAAGTGAAAATGTCCAAACTGTCATTTTGAATTTAAAGTCTTATGCACCCAGACACCAATACCGACTTGTAAACACCCGCAGGAGCAAAGCTCTGCTAGACAGGCAGGAGCTCTGTGGTGTTTATTCACCTGTGAAACCTCTCCAAGGAACAGTTGTTATCAAGATCTTCCCTGGAATGGGCAGCCAGTTCAAAAGCTCTGAGCAGGAGACTATAAATAAGACAAAGTTATTGGTGGAAGGCAAAGCTGGCTGCTTTTCAAAGGAGGTTGTAGCCATCTTGGCCACAAAAATGTCTGGGTGCCTGCTGGGTGGCGTGTGTGTGTGTGTGTGTGTGTGTGTGTGTGTGTTGGAGAGGGAGGTAGAAGGTGGAGATTATGTGTCTGCTCAGGTGGCCTCAGAGACAGCAGGGTGGTCTGAGGAGAGAGCACTGGACTGGGAGTGAGGAATCTTCTAATTCTGGCTTCAGCATTGACTGGTAGATTTTATGCAAATGATTAGACAAGTGTATGTTTCAGTTTCCTCCTTAGTGTAGAGGGTGATGAGAAGCTTCCATCATAAGAGCGAGTGCAACATAGGAGCAAAGAGCACAGGCTTTAGAACCAGACTGCCAGGGTTTAAATCTCAGCTCTACCTCTTACTAAATATGTGACCTTGGGTGAATTATTCCTTCTCTGTGTGTCTCAGGTTCTCCGTCTGTAAAATAGAAATGATGATAATAATAGACCTATTTTAGTGAGTTGACATGAGGATTAAATGAGTTAGTGACCTTTATAAAGTATTCAAACAGTGACTATCACATATTAAGGACTCAAAAATTATAAGCAACTATTATATATAAAACACCTAGCACAGTTTGGCTTTTATTATTAAAATTAATAAGGTAACCAGTGGCCAGGCATGGTGGCTCACACCTGTAATCCCAGCACTTTGGAAGGCCAAGGCAAGTGGATCACTTGAGGAAGGAGTTCAAGACCAGCCTGACAACCAACATGGTGAAAACCCATCTCTACTAAAAATACAAAACAATTAGCCAGGTGTGGTGGCAGGCACCTGTGGTCCCAGCTATTCAAGAGGCTGAGGCAGGAGAATCGCTTGAACCCAGGAGGCAGAAGTTGTAGTGAGCCGAGATCATGCCACTGCACTCCAGCCTGAGCAACAGCGCGAGACTATCTCAAAAGAAAAGAAAAAGGCCAGGCGTGGTGGCTCACGCCTGTAATCCCAGCACTTTGGGAGTCCGAGGTGGGTGGATCACGAGGTCAGGAGATCCAGACCATCCTGGCTAACATGATGAAACCCTCTCTCTACTAAAAAAAAAATACAAAAAATTACCCGGGCATGGTGGCAGGCGCCTGTAGTCCCAGCTACCAGGGAGGCTGAGGCAGGAGAATGGCATGAACCCGGGAGGTGGAGCTTGCAGTGAGCTGAGATTGCGCCACTGCACTCCAGCCTGGGTGACAGAGTGAGACTCCATCTCAAAAAAAAAAAAAAAAAAAGGAATAAGGTACGCCGGCTCCGTGGTTTGTTCCTGTAGTCCCAGCTACTCAGGAGGCTGAGCCCAGGAGTTTAAGACTGAGCCTAGGAGTTGGAGGCTGCGGCACACTATGGTCATGCCCGTGAATAGCCACTGCACTCCAGCCTGGGCAACATAGCGAGGCCCCATCTCTGAAATAAATAAATATATTTTGTAAAAGTGATTAACATAATAACATAATAATAAAGAGTACCATGCTTGAATTCAGAAGACCTGAATTCTCAGCCCAACTTGTTTGTTCACATTCTGTATCAGTTAGAATTCAATTCAACTGTAAACGATAGAGAAATGAAATAAAAATTGTTGAAAAAAATAGAATTTTATTTCTCTTTCACGTAAAGTCTGGCGATTAACATTCCAGGGCTGGTGTGACAATCCTATAATTAACGGAGACCCAGAATTCTATCTTATTGCTCTCCGATTCTCCAAATAGAACTTCCACCTCATAGTCCAGGATGGCTGCTTAAACTCTTGGTATCCAATCTGCAGCCCAGCCTGCAGGAAGAAAGAAGGATCTGCCCATGTCAAACCCTGAGCTTTAAGTGTACTTCCCAGGAATTACTCACACCACTTCTGTTTACATCCCACTGGCCAGAAATTAGTCATGCAACCACACCTCACTAGAAAATACAGCCTTTATTTCAGACAACCAGACAATAGTGTCCACAGCTGAAAGGTAGAGAGTAGGGAATGGCATTTCCAGGAACGTAGTGGAGGATAGATATTGCAAGACACCCAGCAGGCTCAGCCATGCTTGGCTATTTGGTTTTGAGCAAGCCACAGATTTAACCAAAATAAGAGAATCAGGCCAGGTGACCTCCTTCCAAAGTCCTTTTGGGTTCTAAAGTTCTATAATTCAGTGGCTTATCGATTTTATAATTCCTTTAAACCTAGGTGAATCTGATGTCATTCAAATGAAATGAGACCTCTGTGCCAAGTACACCCATAATCAATTGTTGGAATGTAAACCTTCTGGTGAAAAGGAAGGATTTAGGAACTTTGCCTTCTCGACTGTTGTCAAAATAGGCTAAGCAGATCTAGCAGATAAAAGTCCAACCGTAGAGGTGATACCACCTGCATTGACACTTTGATGCTCCTCAGTTTCCAAGCTTGCTCTTGCTCTTTTATACCTGTTTGTTTTTTCTGCTTGGAATTTTAGGGAGCTGTGTTTATCAGGGGAAAAACAGCAACCCCAGGGAGCTCTATTGCCCCCCAATTATACAGTGTGAAATGGCAGAACAAACGATCTGTGTGTCAGGATTCAGTGGTCTGTTGTTCCTGATACATTAAATTGTGTACATTTAAGTGGTTTTAGCTGATGGACATTTGGATTTTCTTTTTTTTTTTTTTTTTTTTTTTTTTTTTGAGTCTAGCTCTGTTACCAGGCTGGAGTGCTGTGGTGTGATCTCGGCTCACTGCAGCCTCTGCCTACTGGGTTCAAGCGATTCTCTTGCCTCAGTCTCACGAGTAGCTGGGACAACAGGCATGTGCCACCACACCCAGCTAATTTTTGCATTTTTAATAGAGACAGGGTTTCACCATGTTGGCCAGGATGGTCTCGATCTCTTGACCTTGTGATCTGCCCACCTCGGCCTCCCAAAGCGCTGGGATTACAGGCGTGAGCCACCGCGCCCAGCCTGGATTGTTTTCTCCTTTTGGTTATTGTGACTCTGGAGCCAGATGGACCCAGGTTGCTAATTGAGTGAACTTGGAGAATGTTATTTAAATTTTCTGAGCCTTGGTTTCCTCTTCTTTAATAAAAGGATAATAATACCCACCTTACAAAGATAAAATAAAATGAAGAATGTAAGGTTCTTGCTCTATGTTTGATTTTCAATGATTGGGAATATTATTCTGCTAAATTGTCCAATTGATAAAGACAGGAACCACACCAGGTTTGTCCATACCTAGTTCTCAACATCTAGTACAGAGCCTAGCATGCAGACAGTGACCAGTAAATATATTTTGAAAAAATAACTAAACAACCACAAAACCCTTATTCTGAGGCACATTCCTCAAGAATAATAAGCCACGGAACAAGATTTGGGAAGTGCTTGCTTAAATTTGAACTTAGTATATTCAGCTGGTGCATTTGCTCACCTT